AACTCCCAGAATTCCTCAGCCAGCTTTGCAAAGCTGGCTGAGGAATTCTGGGAGTTGAAGTCCACAAGTCTTAAAGTTGCCAAGGTTGGACACCCCTGCTTTAGATGATCACCAGTGGTGGCAATTAGACACTCATATGACATGTAAGCAATCATTGTTTATGCTGAAATTTAACTATACTATTTTGTGGTCATAAACTTTATTCTTGCATTATATTTAATTAATTTCTATAGGCCATCTCAACCTCATGACTCAGGGCAATTTACAGTTAATTATATAATTTAGAACTATTAGTAAAGAATTTGGATTTCAATTTACTAGGTAAACTTCAGTTCCATGACTCTTAAACATTGATGGAAACAATTTTAAGCCTGAATTAGCAGAGGAATTTCATGATGTTTGGAACAGATACGCGTATTGAATAGGAAAAAAGCCTTGATAGTTTTGTTCATGTAAGGATTAATTAATTATTATCTCAGCACTGGAGTTTAACCAACAATAGCGTACAGGTAGTTCTTGAGTTAGTAGAGTTTGTTTAGTGACCATTCGAGGTTACAATGGCACTGAAAAATGTGACTAACAATTGTTTTTCATGGTTACAACCTTTGCAGCATCCCCTTGATCATGTGATCAAAATTCAGATGCTTGGCATCTGTTCATATTTATGACAGTGTCTCAGGGTCATGTTACTTTTGCAGCCTTCTGACAAGCAAAGTCAATGGGGATGCCAGATTCAATTAACATCCGTGTTACTAAGGTAACACCTGCAGTGACGCACTTAACTGTGGCAAGAAAGGTCGTAAAATAGGGCAAAATTCATTTAACAAATGTCTGGCTTAGTAACAGAACTTTTGTGCTTCATTGTGCTTGTAAGTCGAGGACAACTTGTATTAGTCCAAAAAAGGAGAAAGCCTTTCTTAGGCAAATAATATAATAATATTGAATATTATTGAATATTATTATACTAATATTATTGAATATTATTATACTGTGTAGGTAAAACTATCCCTTATTAAATTATATGTAAACATGAGCATCATTTAGTTGTATCAAAATGTTTATTAAATAATGCCATATATATTTACTGAACTATATATTATCAATTTTAAAGCTTGATAGCAATAGGTATTATTCTATTTTCTCTATTAAGGAAATACAGATATCAGAATGCAATACAATTTTTTGGCCAGCATGTTGGTTTCTATTCAGTCTGCCAACAAAAGTTTCTGATATGTTAATTTAGGATTTAAAATAATAGTAGATGTTTTGTCATGTATTCTGATGACTTGATTAACCAGTCACAAACTAATTTTTGTACAGTACAATACCATACAATACTGCAACCTCTTGCAAGGAAAAGCTAACAACTGCAAACACAACATCTGAATGTAATTTTTAAAATCAGTTGAAATATCACCTGGCAGAACTTCAGCTGTTTTAAAAAACCCTTTGCTACATGAATTCCAGGTATTCTTACCTTCCAGCATATAAGGAGGGGTGCCATTACTTGAAAGCTCATATAAACCTTAAGTTTAGTAATTGAAAGTAATAATTACACATGGGCTTATTAAAGCAAGATGGAAGACTGACCCACAAGTTGTTGTTAAAAAAAATTAGAAGATACATAATCCAAGAAGCTGTGTAAAGTAGGCAAGGAACTAATGAACAATGGCAAAAGATCTGCCCTAATCTTCCTTCTTTCAAAAATTAAGAAAATAGAAGATACCTATTCATACATAATTGGAATGCACCAAAATGTTGCCACTTAGTTTATACATTAGACTTCCCAAATTGTTATGTATGTTAATGTATGGTCTTATAGTCATACTAAAATCCCCTTGTGATTAGATGTTATTTACTTTCTGTGAGCTATGCCTGTATGATCATCAAAAAGCATTCGCTTCTGATAATATAATCTGAGCCCCATATGTATGGTAAACATGCCAATCTAAACATTATTGAGAAAATATACATTCATGCTAATTAGAGCCTGCAGGAGAAATACCTGATTTATATTGGGCATGCAGAAGAGGCCCTTCTTATACATTGCTTCCATCTACAGAGTATATTTCCTTGAGGGTTGCCTTTGTTTCCCATTCCCACTACCATTCGAAAATCTGTGAGTTCAAATCCAAAGATCAATGGTTTTACTACTCACATTTACCCTTAGCATTTTTGTTTTATACATGTTAAATTCAAAAATCACCCAGGTCCTCCATTTGAATAGAAATAAAACTAGTTCTCATTTAGTTACAAGGGTAATGAACAAATAACTTTGTGACCTTTGCAGGTCTATATAAAGCATGGAAAACTAAGTAAGATGGCAAGCACAATTGCTATTTGGCTTAATGACTGACTTGCTAGTCACAACTGTAGTAGCTAAATAAGGATTATCTGTAAGTCTGTTTTTATAAGTCTGTCTTTATCCCCCAAGTTAAAGAAGTGTTAGTCTAAGTCTCAATATAAAAGAATGATTTGAACTAATTGGAACTAGCTGGTTTATGTTAAGGTACTTTAGCGAATAAAAAGTGAACTATTGTATTAATTATAATGCATCTATAATTATCAATCACTTCAACAAAAGAATATGTAAACAGCAACTAGAATATTTGGAGAAAGTTCAGTTTTAGTCCATTTGTGATTCTGTTCTTTTGCTGCCTGCCATTCAATTTGCTTCTCGTTTGTGATACTTGAGAACAAAACATGATGCCTGAAATGAGAGATACAAATTGATTTATATTATTGAGAAATTATATTTGTGTAATATTGCTTCTTTTAACACAATATCTCCTTATGCAAATCCTGTGGAAATGTAATACTTCCAGTAGAACTGAGTAAAAAAGTGTAGATTTTGACTCTTTCCAGGAAGACTGAAAAGGCAAAGGAAGCTTTACATAACAGATAATGTGTATCTTATACAGGTGGTCCTTGAGTTATGACAGCACTCGGGATTGGGATTGCTGTGGCTAAGTGATGCCATAAAGCAGAATGTCACATGACACATTGCTTAGTAGCGGTAATTCAGGCAGTCCCGGGGTACGTGTGTGAAACTTTTAGGTTATTAAAGCAGGAAATAGAGAGAGTCCCAGGTAAAGAGTGCAGAGATATTACAGGAGGGTAGAGAATAATCAGGAAAGCCTGGTGCAGATTGCATGTGAATAAGGGAGTGGAGGTGCTGTAGATGGGTGCAAATTCAGGGAGGAAGGCAGGCACCATGTGTATGAGCAAAGGGGGAAAGGCGTGTGCATGTATGCAAGCAAAGAGGAAAGGAGGGAGTGCATATGAGAATGCAGAAGGGCATGAGGGAGATGTAACCAAGTGACCTAACAACTTTCCCTGCTATTTCCCATTGATTTTGCTTGTTGAAAGATGGCAGGGAAAGTCACAAATGGCAATCACACAACTATGGGGCATTGCAACTGGTTGTAAATGTGAACTTGTTGCCAAGTGCCTGATCGTAGGGTGCTGTAACAGATGGAACTTTGAGGAACAGTTATTAGTCTCATCATTCAGCACCATCATAACTTTGAAGAGTTAAGTGAAGGCTACATACATTTGGCAGCATTGCAGAGTGGAGTATGGGTGTGCAGATGGAATGAATGAATGAAGGAGAACAAACTGGTTCAATTCAGTCTTTATACTCTTTTTCCATCTATCCCTCCCAGGAGGGGATAGCTTCCAAGTAATTTACACTTGAGAGTTTGCAGGTACATAGGTCATTAATTGGTGATAAGCATTTGGGAGTCACAGATAGCCTATCCAGGACCTATAAACATGTTATTTGTAATTGCTAGGAACTATTATTTCCATTAATCATAGCATATATGATTGTGTGAAAACATATTTCATAGATTGTTGAAAAATAAATATGAATATGTAATTTGATTATGGTTATATTTGGGATATTGTGCATAATCTTGGGCACCATACTTCAGAAAGGACATTGCACAGCTAGAAAGGTACAGCAAGTGGTAAGTCAAATGATGAACTCCAATAGAAAGATTTCAGTCTTTAATAAATCTGTCTATTCACTGGTGGGAAGCATGAACCAGTACCAAATGTGAAGTATGTTTATTTGTTTGAAAGATAAATAAAGTAGGAAGTTATAAGAAGTACATTAAACCATCATGTAAAATGATTTATATTAATTGATGAACCTACCCAAAATATTGAAAACATTCAAGAGTAATGACATATGGGTATTTGTCACCCTCAGAAATATTTTTTTTTCTTCCTCCATAAAGATTACACTAAAAATAACAAATTCCATCATTTCAGATGCACTTAAACTATTTAAATTCAAAGCAAAAGAATCAACCACAACAAAGATCTTATGCTGCTACCATTTTTGGCTTTTCATGGAAAATTTCTTCACCATAAGTATCATACCACATTGGGATGTGAAACATAAGTTTTAAATATTTAGGAGTTTTATTTTTCAAGATGGCATGAGTTAAAGTTTATGAGTTAACAACTGCTTTTAGTATTCCCTTTGCAAACCTTTTGAGGAGTCATTTTTATTTACATGGCATCCCACTGGAATGTCACCCAAACATTTTTGAAAATTCAGTTATTGTTACTGTATTGTAATAAATGTCCAGATAAAATAATGAATGGGTTAGATTGATAAATAAAAATCCAAATTACACCTGTCAAATATAAGCTGAATTCTTCATAGGTTTTTACTACAGAAAAGAGAAGATGTTTACATGCTAAACTAAGAAAAGCATAGCCCAAACACTGAATTCCTCAAATAATTTTATCAAGAAGCAAGATAACATCCAGTAGGCAACTTCAGTGCCATGTAACTGAATTAAATTTTTCAAATTTGAAAAAGGAAGAGGAAGGCAGAATATAAAGTTCTTTATGTAGCAGGCTTGATATTTCAATATTATAATAATGTTTTCATTATTACTTATATATAAAACTAATGCCATTGTGCCACTTCTGTTTTCAGAGCACCAGAAATCATATTGGGTTTGCCATTCTGTGAAGCCATAGACATGTGGTCATTGGGCTGTGTGATTGCTGAACTATTCCTTGGATGGCCACTATATCCAGGAGCCCTTGAATATGATCAGGTAAAAGAGACTGCACTGATGCTATAACAATATTTATTTTAATTGTTTCAAATTGTAATTTGGTCAGTAGGGAATTTAAATTTCATTACTATGATATGATTTTTAGCGTATGAAGGATCAACATAATCATGGTAACTTGAGTTAAATACACATCGAGTCAATAGTAAGGCTATTCCTGTGAATTTCAAATACATGTAGTCCTTGGGTTATGACCATTCAGTGACCTTTCAAAATTACAACAATGTTGAATGAGGGTACTTACAATATTTCATTGGAATTGCAGGGTCCCTTATTTCCAATGTTCCCTGCCAGCTTCACTCAAGCTAAGTCAGTGGGGAAATTGGCAGGAATTTAATGACCAATTTAATGACCTCATTTAACAGAGGCAACTAGGACTGCTATAGAGTTAGACTGAATTGAATAAAGAGTTTTCATTTATACAGTTTTCTGGATGCAGCTGTTTAAATATACAGGTGAATAATGTAACTTGAAAAGCAAAATTATAACAAATAATTATTGTATAACTATACATATAAATGCATGACAACAAAATATATCCCTAGTTTATATCAATGCCACTCACTGTACATCAGTGGTGGTATTCGGCCGGTTCGCACCGGATTGGGCGAACCGGTAGCAAGAATTTGGTGTGGGTCACCGAACCGGTAGTAAGTTCTGGCTGGCCACGCCCCTGATCCGGTCCCCTCCCACCCGATGCTCGCTTGCCTGCCTGCCTGACATTCGCCTAAGGTATTTCTTCCCCCCCCCCCCTCCCGACAATCAGCTGTGCATAGATCAGCTGTGCCGGGATTCCCCTTGCTGAGGCCCAGGAAGGCAAAAAATGGAGGGAGAAGCTCAGCCCCCCCCCTCCATGTTTTGCCTTCCAGAGCCCCAGAGGAGGCCTTAAGGAAGCAAAAACACCCCCCCCCAGAGGCTCCCCTGAGGCTAGGAAGCTCCCAAAACAGAGCTTGGAGGGGTACTGCGACCCTCTCCCATGGTCTTTTTTTTCTTTTTCTTTCAGAGCCCCAGAGGAGCCTTAGGGAAGCAAAAACACCCCCTCCAGAGGCTCCTCTGAGGCCAGGAAGCTCTCAAAAATGGGTGGGGGCAGCAAAAAAGCCACACCCACCCAGTCACATGGCCATGCCCACCAAGCCACGCCTACAGAACTGGTAGCAAAAAAATTTGTATCCCACCACTGCTGTACATCTCCATATCATTCCAAGCTTGCAAGGATAGAAAGATCTGTAGCTATGTATTTTTTAGTAGTGGCATTCATTATTAGTTAGCTAATTTATATAGCCACCTTTCTCACAAAAAGTGACTCTGGGGAACTTACAAGTATAGTAAATAAAATCATATCACAATATAAAAACACATCAAACTTTTTTATTTATTTAAACCATTTATATAGCCACCCATCTTATAACTAACACTGGGTGGCTCTCAATCACAATTTAAAACAACAAACAAAATCATATTAAAAATAAACATATGAAAAAAAAAATCTTAAAACCCCCCAAACCTGGCACCAAGCAAAACTTCTAATGTGCATCCCAGTGCTTGTGGGAAGAGCCAGGTCTTCAAAGCTTTTACAGATTACTTAGGAGGCAGAATATTCCATAGAGGCAGAATAGGGACCAGCATTTTGATTTGCACCTGGAGAGAAAGGTGGTGCAGCTCACCCAACATAGGAATAACATGGGAAAATCTGCCCCCCCCCCAAAAAAAAATTATTCTTCTCCATTCAGACCCTTACAGCCTGCAGGCATTTGGCTAACACTGCCAGAACATCATCTGTCTGTCCAGCGATGGAGATATCAACATACTGCTCTGTCCTACATATGGGCAAAAAATCAAATCAAATCAGAAAATAAAATACAGGCTGAATAGTCAAGACCTTGTTGATGATCCAAACTCTGTCCAGGATCTTGATGTACTCATCTCTAATGATCTAAGTGCTAGAGCCCACTGTAACTACATAGCCAAAAAGGGGTTAAGAGTTGTTAACCTAATCTTTTGTAGCTTTTTCTCTGGTAATATTACACTAATAACTAGAGCATACAAAACATTTGCTTGATCAATACTTGAATACAGCTCATCAGTCTGGAACCCACATTACGTATCTGATATTAACACAGTTGACAAAGTCCAGAAAGATTTCACAAGAAGAGTTCTCTATTCCTCTACTCGTTGCAGAATACCTTATGCCACCAGACTCGAAATTCTAGACCTAGAAAACCTACAACTACGACGCCTTCGGTTTGATCTAAGTATAGTATTTAAAATCATACATTGCAATGTCCTGCCTGTCAATGAATACTTCAGCTTCAATCATAACAACACAAGATCAAACAATAGATACAAACTCAAGGTTAATCACACCAAACTTGATTGCTGGAAATGCAACTTCAGCAACAGAGTGGTCAATGTCTGGAATACTCTACCTGACTCTGTGGTTTCTTCCCCAGACCTCAAAAACTTTAACCTTAGATTGTCTACTATTGACCTCACCCCTTTCCTAAAAGGTCTGTAGGGGGCATGCATAAGCACACCAACGTGCCTACCATCCCTGTCCTATTGTTTCTTTTATTTATTTTTTCTTATATGTATCCATGTTTTCATAACTATGTTTTTACTTATACCTATTATCTTGTAAGCAATTGACAAAAATAAATAAATAAAATAAAATAAATACTGATGATACCAAACCCCATACCAATGGATGAGCTCCCCTAGTGGTTTTATGTAGATGTTAAAAAGAAGGGGTGAACTACTTGAGCCCTGGGACATCCCATAGTGCAAGGAGCTATGGCTCGACCTCTCCTCTCTACCAGGACTGACTAGAACCGGCTGTGGAGGAAGGAGGAGAACCACTGTAACACAGTGCCTTCCATTCCCAACCCCCGAAACTGGTCCACAAGGCTGTTATGGTCAGTGGTATTGAAAGCCTCTGAGAGGTCTAGAAGGACTAGAATGGTCACGCCACCTCTATCCTGAGTCCTCCAAAGTTCATCAAGTGACCTGGCCTGAACCCAGACTGAAAAGAATCCAGATAATCCGCTTCATCCAGGGCCCTTTGTAGTGGGTGCCAGCCACCCTCTCAACAACCTTCCCTAAAAAGGGAAGATTGGAGACTGGATGGAAGTTGTCCGAAATTGTGGGGTTCATAGATGGCCTCTTGAAAAGAGGGTGCAGCTCCACCTCCTTTAGGGCAGGTGGTATCATTCCCTTCCTGTAAGGATGCATTAATCACTGCCTGGACTCAACCACACACCATTTGTCAGGTGGGGCATGGATTTTGAACCCAGGTGACTTGAGCTCACAATCCCAAGGACCCTATTGCCTTTCTTAAAAGCAACTGGCTCCTATTCCTCCCAGATAACAAGGTTCAGGCTCTCACCTCTGAAAAATATGTCAGATTTCAGACATTTCAAAATATGCTTGTTAAGAAAGTATTTAGTTAAAACAATCCTGGATACTGCCACTGTTTGAATTGAAGATTAAGGTCTGATTAAATAAAATGCAACATTCAAATATTCTGTTATAGCCTAGATTTGATCCTTGTTTGTTGTTAATGTTCTTGAGCCATTGTGATATTCTATCATTACATTAAGTACAGTGAAGTGTTTGTTTAGGTTCTAAAACTGATAGATGTATATGTATTGGTGAAAGAAGTGCTGTGATACTTTTATCTCCATAGATTCGCTACATTTCACAAACACAAGGATTACCTGCGGAGCAATTGTTGAATCTTGGAACGAAGACCACACGATTTTTCTGTAGAGAAAAAGATGCACCATATTCTGGTTGGAGATTAAAGGTAGTGATAGTCCTCATAAGGACAAATTCCTGTGTTCTATGCTTTTGGCTATGTATTTTGGAAATAATTTACTTAGCCATACAAGAGATACTTTGTCACTATTCTGTCTGAAATGTCTGCCCTTTCTGGATAATGATTTGGAAAACACAATTTTGCTGTGGATTGTTTGATTTGTTTCCCAACAATGAACATTGGGATTCAAGCAGAAATAATGTTCAGTTGAATTTATTTACAATAGCGATTGGATGCAGCTTTAGTGTCATTATTTGGTTCAAAACATCTGGGACACTGCATAACAATATAACTTGTACTTGGAAAGAAAATTATTTTTCAAACAACATAAAGGTTTCGAGGCTTATAAAAGCAGCAGATTATCAAGAAAATGTAAATCTCATATGGGTGTATAAAGAGGGATTCCTTTAAATTCTGAAGCAGCAGGACTCTGCTTCAGTAATTAACCTCCAGAATTGACTGCTACAATGCACTCTGTTGACTACTACAATGCACTCTACATGTTGCTGCCTTTGAAGAGTATCTGATGCTACATTGGTGCAAAATGTACTGGCTTGTTTATTGACCAATAAAATACACCTCCAATTTTGTGTTTGCTGCAGTGGTTTCTGGTAAGCTTCTAAATATAAATCAAAGCACTAATGTTAACCTATGAAGCACAGTTGCTTCCAGTATTGCCTACTTCAGTTAGAAGTGACCTGTCTAATTTGCATTTCCCCAAAATCAGGATGTTAAAGGTTTGTCTCAGTCTTCTTCATCTTTATTAAATGTCTTTTCCTCTGGAAGTTCAGTTGGCATCCACCTGGATGGATTTAGAAGAGTAGTTAAGAAGGAGCTTTTTGAAGTATCTATTTGAATGGGAATGCCAGGTAGATTATTGATTCTGTGACTGTATCTTTATGTTATAACTGTTAACTTTATATTATGAATTCTGTGCATTTTATTTATTTAAGTAGTTAATTGTTTTATAGATTTTATAAACTTCTGGAATCTTAGGAAGAGTCATCAGAACAAAGTTTTTCATTCTAAATAAAATTTTCCATTGTGAAAAGCCTTTTCGGTGTTATATTTGTTCATGTATTATGAGATAGTTTTGATTTACACATTATGAAAGAACATTAGGCATTAGCATACTATGCAGTTAACACTGAACTGAAAAATAGAATGCAGTGTTCAAAAATCTGTTGTGCATTGTAATAAATTTAGCATAAATCTAGAGCTATAAAAGATCCAGATTAGGCCCAATTGTGTACTTGTTTGAATTTGCTGTGACTAAATTCTACCTATAACTTGCTCTGGGATGCATTACAATGGATATTTTCCCTACCTCTCCACTTTTCTCGAGATAGAATTTCCTATTATTCTACCCTAAGCTAGATGAAGGAACATAGAGGAACCAGCAACCTTTGTTATTGCAACCCCCTCAAGAAGAAGTATTCCATTTTTAACCCAAAAATATAAATAAACACACACACAGACACACACACTGTGAAAGTTAACTTTTGTCCTATATCCACAGGAATAATATAACTAATGGACATTAGGAGGTCTTACCAAGAGAGGCAGTCCTCAACTTAAAACTACAATTGGGAAATATTTCTGGTCACAAGTTGTTATGGTGATGAGGCATTAACCTGATTGGACCTGATTTTTATGACTTTTTTGCAGCAATCATTAAGCAAATCCTAGTTATTAGGTAATTTGAGTTTGTTAAGCAAACTGGTCATAACTCTGAACCCATTTTTTTTAATGGGCATTTTTTTTTGTGCCAGAAACTGGCAAAAAAGCAGCAAGTTGTGATTATGTGACCACAGGATGCTGCAACCAGTCGTAAAGATGAGCCCATTGCCAAGCACCCAAAATGTGGTTACAGGACACCTGGGGTGTTGTGGCATGACATTTTATGATGGCCAGAAATGCTTTATGTGCTATAAAGCACTTATTCTGAACCTGTCATAATTTCAAACAGTTATTAACTGACTAGTCATAAGTTGAGGATGACCTGCAAAATAATACTTGTTGCAGTAAATATTAATTCATCATATTTTTCAGTAATTTTTGGTTTACAGCATCTCTGAAAGGAAATCATTTATATTCTCATTTTATAGGAATACTACTAAACTGCTGAGTTCATCTGTATATGTACATTCAAGCAAAATCCAAACATAGATGTCAAACATGCAGTATTACATATCCCAAATGCAGTTACCTATATACATAGATACAACATGCTAAAATTCTGCATTTCCCTGGTACTATTTAGATTGGGGTTAAATTTGTTATCGTTATCTGTCCAAAATCCAGGAAAGTTTCTGAAAATTCCAAGAAAAAATAATGATAAGATATAAGGAATCAATTTTATGCTTTTCTAAACAAAAAGGTTGTGTGGTAATGTATACTTTAAACACAACACTTTTTATATTTGGAAATGTCCATATATTTTCAGTAGTAAGAAGAAAGCATAGTATTGTATTCTCTACTGTTCAGTTTTCTGCACTGAACACTAGTATATTAAGAATAATATATGCATCTTTCCCCTACCTTCACATTTCTGAAGACATTGGAAGAACATGAAGGTGAAACAGGTATGAAATCCAAAGAAGCCCGGAAATACATTTTCAACTGTTTGGATGATATAGTGCATGTGAGTACATGTGTATACATTTGAAATATTTTGTATTAAGAGCCTTTTGCCTCTAATTTATTTTGTTGTAAATGTTCTCTGTTCACTTTCAGAGTTCTCCCTTTTGTTTTATCTGGAGCTTTGCTTACAGGGGGCACTTTGAATTGCATGGTATCCAGATTTATGTATTCATCTGCATGGTCTATCACTGCATGTGAAATTAATGGAATTTCACTTTTTAAAGTAATTCAGTTTGCCTCTTGCCTCAATCCCATCCCATATTGTTAATAATGTATAGGGATTCCACGCCTCCAAGAATTTTGAAAATCTAGATGTGAAACGTTACTTCCTTGCCATTTTTAGCGTCCTTTGTTTTATCGTGTGAATTATCCTGTTACAATACCATTAAACTAATGTAAACTAACATTAAAGTGGAGTTGGTCTTTAATCTGGCACTTGAAGTACACTTGTTTCTTTATTGTACTTGTTTAAACCTGTGATACTTTCAAGCTATTTCCTTATTAGCAGTTCCTATATTTCTTTGACCACTGCCGTTTATCACTGTTCTGAATAACAGTAGGTTATATTACAGTATATAACTGGATAATAGTAGTTTATATTACCTACTGTAATATAATATTATTGAACTTGATCCAGTTCACTGTATTGAAGTCTGAAAGACTCCAGAGCAGAATGGGTCTTTCAGCCAGTTGGACACCCTTCCCAGTTTACTTCCCAGGGTGTTGTTCAGGGGACTAAAAATGGGAGAACTTGAAAATCTGGACAAAAAGTGAGATATATGCTGTAATACAATGTAGAATGAAATCTTTTTGGATTTAATTCAGATTTATAGAACTTGCTATTGTTGATGTTGTAGTTCAGAGGTGTCAAACTCAAGGCCCAGGGGCTGGATTCGGCTCACGGGGTGCTTAGATTTAGCCGGTGGGGCTGCCCTGGAAACAGCAAAGACCCGGCCAGTGGTGCCTCTGTCAGCGAAAATGGAGATTGCAAGCTTCGTTTTCACTGGCATAGGGTTGCAGGAGGCCATCACAGTTGAAAACGGAGCTTGGGGAGCCCATTTTCACTGGCAGAGCACTCGGGACACCACAGGCATCCCCCAACATGAGTGACGTTATGCTGGCCATGCCCCCTCGCCCTCCCCGAGGTCAAACACAACCCTGATGCAGCCCTCAATGAAATTGAGTTTGACAACTCTGTTGTCGTTCTATTATAGGATGCTGTTTTATGAATATTTATTATTTGGAAAACAACCTGAAACAAACCGTTGCATCTAATTATTCAATGCTAGGTGAACATGGTGATGGATCTAGAAGGAAGTGATCTTTTGGCAGAGAAAGCGGACAGAAGAGAGTTTGTCAGCCTTTTAAAGAAAATGCTGTTGATTGATGCTAACTTGAGAATCACTCCGGTTGACACACTGAGCCATCCTTTCGTTACCATGAAGCACCTCCTTGATTTTCCTCACAGCAACCAGTATGTCCTATAAGACACTTTTTATAATGATCCTGGTTGAGCCCTTTTCACTGGGTCCCATGATGTGTTGTGTGTGATCTGTGGTATTGGGTTCTGGAAAACCTACTCCTGACCATGGCCTCTTCCAGTATATGAGCATTCATTTCACGATGATGTGGCTGAGGCAGCATACCTATTACAGAGAGCTTTCAGATGGCTGATAAGTGCATGAAGATTAGAAGTGTTTTTTTCTCATGTTTCAGCAAAAGGCAGCACCTGGCTGGCTTTGTTTGGGCCTGGTTAGTACCGGGGTGGGAAGTCTCCAAGGAATCCTAGGGCTGAAAAGTTAAAAAACAAAAATTAAAACAATCCCAGAAGGTGGCAGTGGTGTCCATGAAACCACCAGGAATACAAATGAAACTTTACTCACTTTATTGTGTATTTGGTACAACTGCACATAATCAAAATTGGCTGTCTTATCCCTTGTTGCCTTAATAATGTGCTCATTTATAATGCAGATGTAGTCTGTTGCACAGAGTAACATACTAGTATAGGGAGAAATCATAATTTTCTAACAGTGTAGAGCAGGAAAGCACGATGCCTTTTTAACACATGCACTGTTTGCATCACTACAGGGCCTCAGTAGTCATTGGCACATGAAATCTTATAGCTGTGGTATAGTCAGTACCAAACTGAGTACACACTTTAGCTACTTCTAAAACTCAGTTTGACTCTAGGATATGGAGTATGTCAGTCTTTGTGACAATTCCTTTTTCCTTCTCTCATCAACAGTGTGAAATCATCTTTTCATATCATGGATGTTTGCAAGTACCGATCAAATTCATATGAGATAAGCAATTGCAATAAAACAATACATTTGGGACCAGTTGCTGCAAGCAACACACTAGGTCTGATGCCCAATTTCACCAAGATTGGCGCAGTGCAGAATCAGGTAAGTATTTGTAATTTGACAAAAGCTTTCTTTCTCCCCATATCTCTATCTGAGACTTTAGAATGGGGCAAGTGTGTAACAGAATCATCATAGTAGTAGAAAAAGAGAGGCTTTCAATAAGAAAAATATGAATCTGCATGTTCATTGCATGGTTGGATTGTATGGGCCTAGGGTATTTTATGCAATTTAACTTGGTTATGCTTTGAATTGAATTGTAAGTTAAACATTAGAAAAATCAGCACTAGCATGATCTGGTTCATCTGATGTAAGCTCTTACCCTCAAACACATAACCTTGATAAATATATTATTTATTTTACCCTCAGACACATAACCCTGATGAATATCTTCATTCATTAACATGTGAAATATTGGGTATGTTTGAAATACATAGGGAAACAGAAAATGCAAGTGCTTCATTATTCCCATGCTTATTTGTATTACCTTAAATAGAATGTTCACATTTCCTCCTTAGAGATATGTACGTGACAGTTCTCATAGTAATCATGCAGTCTTCCCCTTAGATGAAGATGTGGAAGTCTATACATGCTGCTTGTAGCCATAAGCATTATTGTTTGCCATGCCTGAAGTTCCTTGGACTATTCCATGACTGAAAATATAAACAGTTGAGAATCCACAAGGGATTACATTTTAGTATTTATCCTTCTTCTGTCTTGGCTTCTTACTTGATTGATCCCTTACACAAGAAAGAGGAGGGCTGCACTGATGTGCCTTCGTATAACTCTAATCTGAAGTAACAACTAAGCTCAGTAATTTCATTTGTTCTCTAGAACAGATTTCTTCACACTTTTTAAGACTTGTTATAAAAAAGTATTCAAAATCCCCTTCCATTCTCCCACCAAGAAATAAACTGTAAAGAGAGAATTGGCAGTAAAAAGGAACTTGCGCTGTTGTAATATAATTATGCAAATGTAGATGTTAAAATGGTTTGAAGTCCACAAAACTGAACCTGCCAATTGCTGTCCCAGAAAATTGTTCCACTTATCAGAAGTATAAAAACTAAAGTGTTTATTCTGTATGCAAAATTATCTTTTCCATTTATCTGGAAGGTTAATGTTTTAACCAAAGAAATGCATGTTTAATGATAGCGGTGTACAGGTTGTTATCACTTACTGATAGTAATTGGGAGCAGGAACCATGGCACTAAGTAACACGCCATATAACAGCACCAACCTACGACTGCAATTCTGATTGCTGTCATTAAGTGAAGCCTAGGCAGCTGCAGCATCCCACAGTCACCTGCCAACTTCCCCATTGATTTTGCTTGTTGGAAACTGGCAGTGAATATCACAAATGGTGATCGTGTGATTGTGTGACCACCAGAGCACTGAAAGAGCTGCAACTACTTGGACATATTTTAAGTCTGCCACCATTGTAACTTTGAACTGTCACTGAACGAGTGGACAATTAGCAAGGACAACCTATAATTTTTTTCCTTAAAAATTGCTGCAAATGATCTTGGCTGCATTTGAATGTGTGTGCGTGGGCGGGAGGGTTCAAATAGAGCAATACTGGTCTCAAACTTCTCTTGGAAAATATTTTACAAAAACCAAGCTAAACACAATTGAAGCTGTACACTCTAAAATGTTTTATTATAGTGCCCTCCTGTGGTCAAATGCTGTTTCTGCTGGTTTGTGTTAAGTATCAAGTTGAATTTCATGTATGGAATTTGTTTCCCACTAACTAGTTTGTAGGAACATTATATAATCCTAAATAATCATGGTAAACCAAACGTAAACTTATTTATACGACTTAGAGTTTTGTTTTGTTTTAAGCAAAATTCTGTGCATTTTACCTTAGCCTTAAAAATGTGACAGTCTGTTTACTGATTTGTAATACACTTATTGTTTCAGACATTAGCTGCAACAGCCCATGCAGTTATGCATCCTGGGATACCCTTACAGGCAGGAACTGCTCAGTTTGGTTGCAGTGATGCTTTTCATCAAACACTGATTATATGCCCCCCTGCTGTCCAAGGTTTGACCTAATTTTTATGTTTATTTTTTTAAATCATTTAAATAATGTCACTATTGAAATTTCTATTATTGGCATCTGCTGTCACTAGTAGGAGCATCTTGCTCTTTTTTGGGGGGGTGGGGGTAGAGAAAGAGAGGCTATATTTCTGGTCAGTGCAATAAAGCATGGATTGGAGTGGAAAGATCTAGTTTATAGGAGGAGTGGGTTTTAGTCTGCCTTTAGGTCTGGAAGCTAAGTGACCCTGGAGAGGTCATTACCTCTCAGCCCCACCTACCTCAAAGGGTTGTGGTTGTTGTGAGGAAAAATGGGAGAGCAGTATATATGCTGGTTTGAAATCCTAGATGAAAGGCAGGCTAAGAATTTGATACAGAAATTACACCAGCTCTCTCCCTTAAAAGCCTGTTCAGTAGAACTGGTAACCCAGAATAGGGGATGCGGAAGGCCTGCTGAAGGAGTGGGAATAGGAATAAATGCCCCCTTCCCTTTTATCTGCATCTGCTGCCTACTGCAAATGTAACAAGCCCTGCATTTCTGGAAAATGCCTTTAGAATCCAAACCTCTGATTGCCATGATTATAAACACTGAGAAATCACTTAATTGCGTTCTTTTAATGATTCTAGCTTCATTTGGGGGGGGGGGGGGAGGAATGAAGTTCTTTCAAAACAGCTTCAGATTCAATATTTCGATATTTCTGTTAATGCTGTATACACAGAGTGCGCGCATATTGGTGATCAGTGTTATAAGAAGACTTGACTGTATCAAGTTCCTCTTCTAGATTTAAAAATAAGATTTCATTAATACCAATTACAAAGCATTTTATTGGTCATTTAAATATATTTATGTGCCCTGGGGGAATCAAAACTTGAATATTACTTGCTTGCCATTTCAGCTAAGCTGATTGAACCCTTTGTTTGGCAATTGTCATTTCATATCTTTTTTTAAAAAAAAATGAGCTATAAAACTTACCGAAAGAACCCCTTTGGGAAATTGGTTAATGTGTTCTTCCATCCCAGAGAAATGCACAAGATGATAATAATGACAATGTACAATGATGCCACTGCCTATTGGAAAATGAAGGGTGTGTCTTGATTGACACTCAGTGGGTTGCTTATGAATTTTGATTAATTGTGCACCTGTTGCTACTTGTTGCTTGTGCGTGACAGAGGTTGTTGGGTCATCTTTTATGAGAATCTTGGTCTTTTTGACTCCTCGGGCAGCCTTATGCTTCTTTATCATTGATGCTCGGGACTGTGGTGCTAAAGTGGTACGGACTTGGTGAAAATTCAATTACTGCTACGTTTAAGTAGTATTGCTGTCTGCAAGAACTTTCGGCTATCTATTTGCTGGCTGCTTAATCCCAGAACTAAAAAGGGTATCACTGATGAGTGAATGGTTTATTTGATACAGCCAACACTGTTCTATAATTTGCAGCCTTATATCTCTTTCTGGTGCTAGGTGTTAAGCTTTACTTCAGTTTAGTATTTCAGGATTACTTAATTTGCATTTTAGCCATGGTGTATGTTACTGATGCCTTCATCTGTTTAAACCAACACAGAGACACATAACCTCTTGGTGGCTGCTTATTTTCTGACGGAACTATGTCTCCTGGAAACTTTTATTCTTTCCTTGTTCAGTTAAGACAGCTCAGCATCCTCAAATGAGAGACGGATGACATGCAGGAATGTTCTTGATTGCTAAATTATGATTTGGTAATAACGTTGGAGCCAACTAAAATGTACTGAGAGAACAGAGGATACATGACTCCCAACCCCATATTTCTTTATAAGCTGGGAAACAATTTCTGAGTAAAGGTCTAAAACCCTTTTCTTCTTTCTGTTTCCTGCTATCATTCTTTTTCTCAAACTATTTAGCCAAACTAAGGGAGTGGAAAACCTGCCTCTGATTTGAATGTGTCTCAAAAAGTAGATGCAGATAGGCCTTAACTTAACAGCTGCTTGCTTAATGGTGGTTCAAATTAATGATGTGCTCAGAAAGGGTGCTTTTATGGCCTGTAAAACACTTCTGACTGTTGCAAAATGGTGCATACCCTAGTCACATGATCACATAAAATCTGATTGCTTGGTAACCTGCTCACACAACCAGTTGCCAAGTGCCTTGTGATCATGTGATCATCATTTGCAGTATTTTCTGTCAGTTTCCTCAGAAAGTTAGTGGGGAAAGTTGCAAGCCTGTGCTGCCCGCTGAGAGAACTCCTGGTCATATCTGAGGGCTGACTGAAAGAATTGCCTTCTGAAGAATCTCAACTTAGGGCCTTATTGGGCTGATGAAATCTCTGTGTGAATGTCTCTCTCCATTCAGAGGCTGAAAATCCTTCTTGGATTTCAGCGGGGAAGATTTTCAACTCCTCTGAGTGGAGACATTCTCACATAGCCTGTTCCAGTTTTTCCAGGGTCTCCCCCGCCCCACTGATTTATCCCGTGCTACTTACTTGGGACCCCATCCATTTAACAACCCACAAGATTGCTTAACCACAACCAAGAGTCTTGAGATTGTGGTTGTTGAGACCAGCGATGACACAATTTCTCACTTAACAACTGCTTTGCTCAATGGCCAAGATTCCGATAGTGGTCATAAGTCATGGGCAACTTGTATAGTTTACATTTGGGAGAGAATCAGGGGGGAAAAAAGTTCTTCCTTCAGAGTTGATTCCAGTCAGTGTTGCTATGGGGAAAATCTGTGCCTTGACCCTTGCTCTGTGAAGTGCCTCAGGATTTTATTCTTGCCACTCCTATTAAATAACTGTATAATACTGTTGGGAAATGTCATGTTGGCATGGAGTTAAGTATAATTAGAATGCTAAAGATACCCAGGTATATATTTCAACCTCTGGGTGAACTGGGTGATGCTGTTGAGATTCTGTCCCAATGTCTGTAAGCTATGGGGTTCTAGATGGAGATGAAAAGGTTTGGTTCAACCCAAGTTATGTCTTGGGAGCCTTAAGGCACTCCTGATCTGGAGACTTTGTCTTTATTTTGGGTAGGACTGTACCGCACTAAGGAGTATAATTTGAGGTCCTCCTAGATTCATGACTCCTGCCTGAAGACAACTTTGGCTCTTCAGAGGGTCTTTCAACAAATCCACTTTGTGAACCAGTTTTATATATATTTTTTTTATTGGGGGGGGGGGGAGTGTTGTTCACAATCACTTAGGTCTCTTTCAATTAATTTTACATAGTGCTGTCCTTGAAGGTCACTCAGCAGCCAAGCTGGTCCAGAATGTAGTACTGCAGGTAGTTATTACTACGTAATGAGCTGCATTGTTTGCTACTTGGTTTCCAGGTGCAAGTCAAGGTGCTGTTTATTACTTTTAAAGCCATTCCTGGCCAGGCCTGTTTATTTGCAGAACTGCTTCTCTCCATTTACTTATCCCCATCTGATATAAGTCCTGAAAGAATTGACATGTTCTGGGTCCCATCACGTAAGCAATATCACCTTGGCTGATTGAGGATTTGTGCCTTCTCTGACCTCAGGTTTGCCCTGTGGAACAGCAGTTACTCCAAATCTAGATGGCCCCAAGTGCTTGCCTGCCTTTTGTAAGACTTTGAACACCTGTTTTTCCTACCAGGCATTGGACCAGGAGATCTTGTGACCTTATCTTGATTGATTCTTTTTCTTCAAGTGCTTCTGACACAACATATTTATTATTTTGAATTATATTTTATTCTGTAATTGCCATTTGTTGTTTTTCATTGTGTTCATGGGCCTGAGTCACATGTTAAGTGGGCAGCTCTGTAAATTAAATTCGAATCTCCTATAATCCTTAATTTTGTTTCCTTATTATTTTGTATCATTATTAAGCATTATTCTTGTCTGAATTAGGGATTCCTGCTAATCATGGGAAAGCCAATGGGTACTCTGTGAGAGTAGATAATGCAGTGCCTTTGGTAACACAGGCGCCAACCTTACTTCAAATAAGAGGAGTCCTCTCTCAGGTATGTCAGTTAGTATTCTACTGCAGATTTCGCATTTTCAGAACTGCACATATTACTTGATGCTGTTGTTTAATTTTTTAAGTTAACATGTCCATTTGTTCTACACAAATTTAAACTTTTTTTATGCATGCAGATTTAAAAAAATTTAGTTATGAAAACTGAAACTTGATATTACTGAAAACTTTAGAAACTTTTTTTCATTGTGCTCTTGACGATACTAAGATCCAACTTTATATCTTTTTTGTGTTTATAACAGACGTGGTCTAATAGAAGCCAGCAGCTATTGTTTCCCACATGGCAACACATAACTCCTGTGGCTCCTGCTACAACACTTGCTTCTGATTCTGTGGCTGGCCCACAGAGGCTTGGAGAATGGGGGTATGTTGAAGTAGTATGCTTTGTTTTATGTAATTTTTCTTTAAAGATACCACCCTCGAATAATGCTTTATTTTCTCTGTCCAACCCAGGAAAATGATTCCTCATGGTAACCATTACAACTCAATAATGACCCAGCCACTCTTAACCAATCAAATAACTTTATCTGCTCCTCAGCCAATCAGTGTGGGCATTGCACATGTAGTTTGGCCTCAACCCACACCTACCAAGAGAAATAAAGTGAGGTTAGTATTGAATATGATTTGTGGTTAATTTAGATGTTGCCATATTTTCAGAATCCCTTTAAAAAGGGGGCAGAGTATTAGAAATATTACATGCTTGTCAAGTTGTTGATATACAGTAGCTAAATGTTTATTTATAACTTTGGTGACTTTAAAAATTAAATATTGTATTACAATACAAATTTGTATGGAACCTATTGATTAAAGCCAAGGGAAGCAAGCCAACTCGCTTCCTCGAAAAATGTAGAATTTTTCTGTCCTCTGATTTTATCTTTCCGTATCACAGTGGCTTTAACTGTGTCTACGACAGAAATATACTTTGGTTGGGTTATTTTATTTTACTTTTTAAAAAAGACTGAGAGACCTAGTTAGTTGTTCCTAAATTTATGTGCATGAGGATTTATCAAGTTTGAACTATTGAAATTAGCATTATAATAATAGTCATAATATGACTTAGAATAGTATTAAGAATAGTCTTTCTTTTGCTGGCAGCAAGAAACACTGTAAGTGCTCTGTGGAGAAAATGTACCCCATCACTACAGAAGTTATTTACAAAGGTATGGGACATTTCAGTAATGGAGAAACCTAAGACCGGGAAGGACAGTTACAGTGGTGAACTGTGTTAAGTAATCCCTGATTCGTGTCCACTGAAGTCATTGAATATAGTTCCTGATGATTTCAGTGGATTTTGAATCTGATACAAAAATGTCTATGGTGTTCAAGCCAGCATTTCTTCATTTCTTCTTTCCTTTTTTTAAAAAAACAGTACTTCCAGTGTATTGTTCTACATCTCATGATAGATCCAACTCTGAACCTTGCATTCCAGCATATGAACAACCCTGCTTGTGATACACAATAGTTATCCAAAAAGTTTTCCATTACTATTCTGGAAAACTACATTTTTCATGATACCTGTATGTTCATTGTTTTATGTTTCACATATTTATTTATATTCATCGATGTTTCAAAGTTTTTATGTCATAGCTTAAATTAATTTGGTAAAGGTAAATAAAGCTAGTGCATTTATTCTGTAAAACCATTCTCACCAAGGATCTAAATAAATGTCTTCTTCACAGGAATAATGCATTACAAAATACCAATATCCAATCGACATTTGTATCTCCAAAGATAATTAATATGAAGACTGATGAAAAACTAAGTTTGGTAGAAACGCAGGACAATCATAATTCAGAGAGGCAGGAAAACAGCTATTGTATGCCATCTGTCAGGCAGGATCCTGACCCATCTGTTTCAAACAAGCAGCGCCAGGCTATCATCATTGCAGATTCCCCAAGTCCAGCAGCCAGTGTGATTACCATCAGCAGTGACACAGATGAAGATGATGCAATGCAGAGGCATTCAGTTGCAGAGTAAGTAGGTGCTCCTGTTACACTTATAATCTGTGGGTGTGCTAGTGTTTATAAGGTGAAGACCGTAAATCTTGCATTAATAAAGGGCTTCCCCCTTTTTTTAAAAAATAGGAGTCAAATGGATTTTTTTCTGTATGGTATATACCATACAGTCATTTGACTCAACTTTCGTTTACAGCTTTTTTAACTGAAATTTGCATTTGTAAACTAGAAGGACCCTGAACTGTATATGACAAACAAAAATAAGCTAACGTCTGTGTGTACGTTTGGTGATAATGTATTGAAAAATAGTCCATGAACAGTGTATGTGCACAGCATGGCATTGCCAAGCATGTATAGCCACAGGCTTACCAAGTGACCCTTCTCCCACTGGTGCAAACATTTGTGGGAGATATAAGTACAAAAAAGAAGCCTGAGACACTGATGGAGAAAGACAGAAGTAAATCTGACCAAACATTGGTACAAGGTGAAGTCTGAGTCTTAGGAAGTGGTCAGAAAGGAGATGAAGTGTTGCTGTTTTTCTTTTCCTCTTGTGTTAGTAGGCTGTCATCCAACTTAGTAGGGAAGAGATGGTCAATACATCTGCCTGGCTACTCTAACCTATTTTTACAACATTTTGCTGCTAAAGTAACTTAGATTTGCCAACTCAGATTTCCTTTGATTCTTCATGGGGAAAAGTCCTTTGTGGGTGAAGGTTGGTTCTCTGGGCTTGTGGGTTACGTTTCCAAACATTTTGTTACCAGACTAGATAATACCTTCAGTGGAGTTTAGGGGATGTCTGTGTAAATGTTCTTCTCTTTGTAAGGGCTTCTGTGGTCAATAAGTCTTGTGATGAGTCGGTGTGTCAAGTGAGCACAAAATCCTTTATGGTAATTGAGAAAACTGTTTGTACTATTTCATCCAGACTTCTAGTCTGTGAATCCTGGTGAGGATGATGATGATAATTACTTTTTAAGAAGATACTTGGTTGATACTTAGAATGCTGGCAGCACCAGCCAATGATATTTGTGAATGTTAGTAGGTAAGGCATGAGTATGTGCCTCATTTTTTTTTTCAGATGCAAAGGAAGTCTTGATTGTGAAGCTTGCCAGAGTACACTAAATATTGATCGTGTGTGTTCATTAAGTAGTCCTGACAGTACTTTGAGCACAAGCTCTTCTGGACAGTCAAGTCCTTCCCCTTGTAAAAGATCTAACAGGTAGGAATTGTAAATAATTACAGCAGTGAATCACATCTAGTACTAACTTTGCAATTTGTGCTAATGAGGCATGGGAGGCATAGTTTTGTGTCTTTGCAAACATATTTTTTTTGCTATTATTTTCTTCTTTTTGTATGTGTCAACTTAAAACCAAGATGAATTTACATCTAACTTGCTGTTACATATGAACAGGAACTAGAGTTAATACTTTTAAATAAGGCAAGTTTTGTTTGAAAATGGGTAACCATAATCGCTGTTTTTTATGTAACAGCTTCTATTGGTTTTCCCATTACAAAGAAAGAAAGATTGGAGTATATTGTGTTGTGTATTGTGCTTTACTTACCCAAAAGCTTTCTTACAACTTTTTTTTGTAGGATCTAAGGGTCCTGATGTTAAAGTAGCAATTCAGCAAAGTTATAACTGTGTACAAACACACACACACACACACATTGTTTTAAAGCTGTAAGCTAACAAAGTTCTTGTGGCTTTGAATTCAGTGAATCAATTTTATTACATATTCTTAAAATATAAATGATTATATTTTGAATAGTTCAACAGAGAGGACAAATATGAGCAGTTTTGTTCAGTTGGAAGTCTGATCATTTACAAACATAAAACTATCATGCTACTCTGACAATTGCCATGACAACTAGTTTTCTCTAATTTTTTTTAAAAAGACATTGGTATTAGTAAAGCTGAGGGCAAATGTTTGACAATTTTTTGTTGGGAAAAAAAAGGAAAAATCTTAATAATTGTTAGGTTAAAGACCGTCACCATATTTTTCGATCGTCTTAGAAGCACTGAATGGACACAGTTTACCTGTCCCCCTTTTTAAAAAGACATCTTTTTTTCTCCTGCTCGTAACAAACCGATTAGATTTGGTTATATGAGAACATCGCTTAAGGTAAATGAAATTAGCAGTTGCTAGGAAGAAAAGCTATTTTGAACAGTTAATGACTCTGGTGCTTTAGCTGATCAGGACTGAAAAGAAGCTGCTACAGAACTGCTTTAATAGTGATGGATGGCTTGCATCCAGGATTTGCTAAAGACTTCCCCCCCAAAAGTCTCCCCTTTCTTTCTTTTGCTGTGATTGGTAATCCAGCTAAATTGGGCCAGCACTCAGTAAATCAAAATTAAAATTTTGAATTTGCTTAGAATTATCCTTTTTCATATTGGATGACTGAAAACATTTTTTTTAATACTGGCCTAATATTTTTGAATTTTGAAGATACGGAAATGTTTCTCAGTACTTCATGCTGCAAAAAATATCTTAAAAAATACATGTGAAAGTTTTGATTCATTTTGGTCTCAGTTCCCTTCTGAAACTTCAAAATATTTAACATGAAAGAATATCTGGTATTCGGTTTAATAGGTTTTGAGTATCCCTCTGGATGTATACTGTTATATAACAGATAAATTCTTAGTGATGCTTTCCTTTATATTATAGCATATCAGATGATGAACAGGAAAGTGGCTGTGATACTGTGGATGGTTCTCCCAGCTCTGACTCCTCAGGCCATGACAGCCCATTTCTAGCAAATCATTTTTCAGAAGCTTCTAATAAAAAAACAGAAACCAGAGCCTCTGCTAACCTAGAAGCCAAACCAACTGTATGCACTGTGGTTGTGCCACCAATGAGGATACAGAACAGGTTAAATGTCGACGGGCAAATGACAAACTCAGGTACTTGGGGGGGAGTGGGTGGGGTTGTTTTCTTGGTCAGCCTGTTTAATACTGATTGCTTCCAAATGTTTGTGAATAAAGAACTGCTTGGGTAGTTGATTATTCTCGTTTCCTGAATTGCTCTCAAATCCTTTAAAAGATTGTATCTCTGGAAAACAAAGATGTCCTATGTAGGAGCTTTGCATGAAAGTCTTTGGGCAAAGGAGCATGTATCATTTGTAAGTTTATGCTAGAAAATGTTAGAAAGCGCAGGGAACTTTTTCTGCAGGATGGACCTGACATGCCATTTTTACAAATTGTTTCATCATTGACAGTTCTTCTGGAGAAGTTTTACTGGAACAAAAACAGCAGGAAAAAGAGTGGAATTTCCATTGTAAGTTGTTGCTGTCTTAGGCAGAGTCAGATTTGAGGACAATTCTTACAGTGATCATTAAGCAAATCACTGCCCTAATTAAACGTATCATATGATTGTTAAAGAAATCCAGGTTCACCAATGGACAATTGCAAAAAAAAAAAAAGTAGCAAATCATGATCATGTTGTCACAGGATGCTGCAGCTGGTGCTAAATGCAAGCACCTAAATTGCGATCACATGACTACAGGGGTGGTGTGATGATTGTAAGTGCAAGTACAGGTCATAAGTCTCTTTTTCCAAGGCTGATGTAACTTTGAACAGTTATTAAATGGTTGAAAGTTGAGGATTACCTGTTGTGTGCATGACTTTCCATTCACTCAGATTTTATATAATAATGAAGCCAATTAATGTCTATATAATCCTTCCTCACCCCATCCCCCAAATAATCAGGATTGATGTGGTCTTCATCCCAAAACCTCCACAGAATTTTTTAGGTAATGTTTAATATCAGCAATACAAAGTTTTTATTTTACTTGAATAATAAACAAAATTATAGAAGTGACCATATTTGTATTTTCTTAGTTAATACCTGCCAACAGCTGGTAAAACGTCGATCTGCTCGTGTAAAAACCAACCATTCTTCTGGCTTGGGTAATCGTCAGCGAAAATTTATGTCAGCATTCCATCAGCAGCATTCAAACCTCAGTCAAGTACGTGTGAGAATATTATATTGCAAATACAATTTTCTAATTCATGCAGGCTGCTCATTTTAATCTAAAATTGTTTGCCGCTGTTGTAATGATTCCTTGATGTAAATTCCTACAAGCCAAGAGCAACATCAATATAATGTATTGTCTGTGACTGCTTCTACTTCTTGAATATTTGTCTTTTACTATTTATAACATATGCTGCACAGATTTGTATCTCTAGGGCAAGATATATGGTGCTCAAGCCTTGAAGACTTCTCAATTTAGCTCTATAGGAGCTGTTGTTTCAGTTAATTAGATGTATCACAACTATTTGAATGGAATGAACTCATTGTAGGAAAGATATGTGTGTGAGAGAGAAAGCAGGCTCATGCATGTGCAAGCTGGAAAAATGTTTTTTTTTTCTTGTTTTGTTCAAAACTGGAATAATCTAATGAAATATACCAGCAGTTCATTCAAAGTAGATAGGAAAATGCTATTGTCCAATGAATTGCATCTGCACGTGGCTATATTTGGGAACTAGAAATGGGTATTAAACAATTTTTTTTTAACATTATTGTTTGAGATGGTATATATTAGGAAAAAAAGGAAGAAACATACTTCCTGTGGTATTTGAGGCTGCATTAGTAGGACAGAGAGAAAGGATTAGTCTTTTAAAATTAACTACTATTTCTCTTCAACTTCCTTGAACAGGTTCAGCCATTTGGATCTGGGTCTCAGGAGTGGAATGGAAACTGTGGTCATTGGAGGCAGCAGACATTCATCCCAAATAATGTTGCTGGTCATGCATTCTCTCTTCCACATGGAAGTCCCACTCATACTTCAGTTCATGCACAATTGGCTGGAAATACACATCTTGGAGGACAGCCTGCAATTCTACCTTACCCATCATCTGCATCCCTCAGTACTGTTGCACCTGTGGCCCACATTTTTGCATCCCCATGTACCTCAAGACCAATATTACATCATCCCGGTTACAGTATTTCTCATCACGGTGGCATAGTTCATCAGATCCCAGTGGGCATAAATCCCCGACTATTGCCTTCTCCAAACATTCAACAGACTCAATATAAACCAATTTTCCCACCACATTCTTACATTGCATCACCTGCTTACACAGGATTTCCATTGAGTCCAACAAAGCTCAGCCAATATCCATTTATGTGAGATTCAAATTACAGTATGCTGTCATATATACATACACACACACACATACATACACACACACACACACACACACACACACACAGAGAGAGAGAGAGAGAGAGAGAGAGAAAGATATATAGAGAGATGTGATTTGAGAGGAAAACATGGTATTTAATAAATATTAGCCATGGCACAAGAAATTTTTTTTTTTTAATCATGTTAGACTTGGGTGCAATTTAAATAACCTTGAGCTTTAACTCACTTTTAATGTGTGTTTTGCACATTTGGTATAAATATGTCTTTAGTCATGTTACCTTCTTACAAAATAACTCCAAACAGGTGACTTAAGGGAGTAAAAATTCAATTTTGCTCCTACTATTTTTATAAAATTGCCTTCTGATCTAGTGCGAGGCACTTCTACATTTGGGAAGCCATTGAGTGTACAGGTTTAGAGCAACAGATGCACATGTCATCAGTATCATGTATGAGTAACTTGTTTGTATTATGTATCTTGATGTTCTGTGTTGAATCACATACCTAAAAAGGTTGAAATGTTCTCCACATTGCATGTGTCCCTTGCATGGACAAAAATGCAGTTGCCTAGAATACTGCTCTTAAATGTTGGTGTCTCAGCTGCATTGTAAACCGGTTCCCACATAGTGCCTTAAATATTCAAGGTTGTTAATGTCACTGCATTATAAATGTTGAAGACTGCAGCACTTAACACTCAGATTTGTTGATTCTTTGATAGATTAATGCACGCTCACTACTTTCTTTTTTGTTGTGCGTGATACGATTTTAGTACTGGGTGAGATTTCTTTTTTGGAAAACAGCATGTGTTGCTGTTAAACGAATTCCGCTGTCTGATAGTTTTCCTTAAAATAAGCTTCAAGAAAAGCATTTTGTAGTGTTTAGGAAAAGTTGATTCATTAGCTTGTTGAATTTTTAAAAAATGGTGTTTTATACTGTCTGGTGGAACTGCAATACAATCTAAAGTAGTTTATTTTCAAAGTGTTTTATATCCAACTGGATTTAATAACCTGTTTAAAGGTATAGTAGGAATTATCTGGGTAGATAGCAAAAGAAAATAACAGCAAAATGCTTGTTGATTCATACTGTGGTTTCATCTTAGCTTGAGCAAACCATGCAGTATTTAATAAATAGTAGCAGAATATTTACTGTTGAAGCTTGAAATGATGTGAGTACTTTTTGTGCAATTTTTCATTTATGCATGGGAGAGGTTTTAGCTTTTTTACATTATGGTATTTGTTCTAGAGTTTGGGGAGTATTTTCTTATTTAAATACATTCCATCAGGGACAACAGATGACATGCATTTTCCCTAGGTAGTCAATCTCTGTGTTTATTTTGTTCAAATGAAATTGCTTTTGCAGCACCAAAGACTTAATCATCTATTTTCTATAAAAGGTAGCTACTTTTTTCATAGACCTCAAATATACTGTAGTGCTATGGTGGATTTAAAGGAAGTGAGGCTGTGATCTAGCTTGTGAGGCAAATAATAAATTGCATCATTTATCTTGAATGTATCATAGATAAGCTGCTATATAATGATTGCCACTTCAAATAGCTGTGAAATTAGGTGATTTAACTAGTTTTTAGCCTTCTAATTTCTGTATGTCTAATTACATGAAATGGAAGTAGAGGGTTGATTTTGTTTTGTTTCCTTTCATGTTTGGAGTGTTGTAACTACTATATTGTAAATGATGGAAAACAATTCGCATATGTTACTTTGAGTGTGTTATTTGCATCAGTATTTTATCTCTATTAACTATCATTGCATATAAGTGGCTGTATTCATGTAATATAATTTTTATGTGTTCATATTGACATTGTGCAGACGCTTAAACTACTTACTTACCTTTTTAAATAAATGTTCCTGGAATATGGTTCTTGCAGCATAGACTGGAATAGGAGTGGAAAGAGTTTCTTTCAAGCACAATCCTATGCATGTTTATTTAAAAGCGATCCTACTGACTTCAGTAGGGCTTGCTTCTAGGAAAGTGTGCTTAAGATTGAAGCCTAAGTAGTCTAGCAGTTGAAAGAGTTTTTTTCCTTTGCTCCATTAACACAAGCAGTGTTTTATTTAATGAATGTCTAATTGAAATAAATGTGCCTGCATCTGAAATATAGCAGTATTAGTTCATTAAAAAACACACACACAAGACCAGCAGTACATTGTAATGACCGAACATGGTAATAAATTCTCTCTTTCCCATGATGCTTGAAGTACAATCAGAGAGCCACAACTCTGCGGGCCCAGTGGAGGCAGTTTTGCCACCAGCCTTATTGAGCAAAAGCACTTCTGAAATACTGAAAAGATTAAAAACCAGTTTGTGGAATTGAAAGAATTGCTACTGAAAGAAAAAAAAAAGACTCAGTAGGCCCATATTAGTCATTGAGTGTACCCAAAGGAGTATGCTGGATTTCAACTTCAGTGATTTCTCAACAGATAATTGTATGCATTTTGTATAAACAGACTTCTCTTTCTGTATGTATCTCTCTTAACACAGGGGTAACCTGATACCTTTGAAAACTTGGTCGTTTTCTGAAACTTACATAGAGGAAATCCAGAAAATCACCAAGTAAATTTGTCATTCTTCTTAATATTTATGGTTCTGTAAATTCCTGTCTTAAGTTCCCAGTTTTGGAAATGGGGTTTCTTGAGTGCTGTCTCCATTGCTGGCATTGGACTCACCAAGACTCACAAAAAAACATAAGATAACTTACTTTTCCACAACAATTGAATGGAGGAAAAAGTTATCCTTAAAAACTGCATCTTCCTTTCTCTGAAGTATTTACTTTGCTTTTCAGTTGCATTCAGGATATAAAGCTAATGGACATGAAACAATATGCCAGGTTAAACACTAATATTTTATCAGTATACTCCAGAAGAATCCTGTGGCACTTTGTGTACTGTAAAACATACATTTTTAACTTTTCAGAAGTGAAAAATAGGATCTACCAAAACCAACACTAATAATAATATACAGCCAGTTGTTTAATGAGATTTGCAAAGAAGGATTGGATTGTAATGCCCTCTTTCAGGCTGTAATCCATGATTTCACTCCAGAGCAGTCAAGTTGACTCTGGTTAGCTATTGAATAGCTTGGCTACTTGGTGGCTGTAGCTAATACTTTTTAAATAAAACACTGCACGATAAATTGTGTACTATTTTTAATTTGGAGAGTAATTTTTATATTAATTCCTTGTATTCAGTTTTTAACTTTAATTCAGGGTGTGTTATTGATCAAATATACTACTGTATTTACTGATTATTTTGCTTTTTTAAAAGAAATACTCCGTACTTAACTGCTAAATTTAACTTGATTTTTGTTAAAACTAAAATTCACACTGCAAACCATAGATTTGTTTTAGGACTGAGTATATAGGTTTGGTTGTTAAGTTTGAACTATTATCGCTTAAAAATGATTTGGAGAATTGTGGCTTTTTTGTTCCTGATTTCTGTGCTACACTAGTTTGTCATGTAGCAATTGCACTGTGCAATATTACAATAAGAGGACTGGGAAAATTTTTATGGATATAATGTTTCCTACAGTTTGCGATAGTATTTCTCTCTAGTTCTCAGCGATTTAAATGTGACCAAGCCTTCTGTACTTTGTCACAAAAAGCGGGTTTTCCAGGTGACTCTTTTGGTGAGTGTCAAAATAAGAATTTATGGTGTAATACTGTCAAGATTCACTTTGAATTAAAATATATATTGCAGCAATTGCTCTTGTTGGCTTTTATTTATACTTTTTTTTAAAAAAACTATATTGGTCAAGTTATATCCCAACTCATGAAGGCATAGCCTCCTATGTGTAGAAGGGAAGATCAAATCTTTAGCATCATTTCTTTATTTATCAAATTTAGATAACACTCATCTCCATCTCAATATTTGAATTTTGTGCTGATAGGAAAAGTTTCAAAGTGGCAGGAAAGTATTTGTGTTGACATCTTTAGACAAAATGATAGAGGAAAACAAATCTTCTGTAAGAATATTTAATGAACATAAAGTCATTACATTTTATGGGAAAATGTTCATGACATTCCTATGTATAAAGTTCTGCTCTAAAAACATGAGAATTCCGCATAAAAATAACTTTAATGAGCAAGTTGGTGCCATTAATTTAAGAGAAGAAGACAAAGGGAAGGAAAAGAAATAGATGTGATATATTTGATGGTGAATGTTGCACCATTGTATGCATTTAACTTGAGATAGTAAAAAAACCTGCCTTGTGCACAATGCCCAGAGTTTTCCAGGTTATGACAGTAGTCTATTTCTAGCATAACACGAGACAAGAAATCAAGCTGAAAATAAAAAAGTATAGCTAGTTTAGGACTATCCAACTTCAAAGTTATGGGCATAGCTGAGGAAACAAACATAGGTGAAACTATTCTAAACAAAGATTTGAGAGGTTTGAAATCTTTCATACAAATCCTTGTGCATTTCCATGCAGTGGTGAGCTAGTATTTATCCTATTCATAGTTTTCCTTCTATTGTACTCTATAAGAAAAAATTGTGGTCAATTTCTTCTTGATGATTCTGGGTATATTTTGTTACATAGATGATTTATGATTGCCATTGAGTTTTCTATAGAATTGTACAAGTGAAAAACAATGTATTGATGGTCAGGACTATATTATGTCTTTGTGCTAGCACTTTACCCTTGACACTTTGTTCTGTGCTATCAATCACACACAGAATTAGTTTCTGGTACAAACTCAAGAGTGTTTAATTTATAACAAAGTAACACAGGCACATGTTGCAGACTTTCTGCTATAAATGCCTAGAAAACGACAAGAGCTTACTTTTCCAGAGAGACAAATCACAGGTCCAAGAGCAGTCGGTATCCATTTCAAAGTCCAATCAGGTAATCCAACACGGCAGGAGAACAGAGTTTTAGGATGGGGCTGTGAAGTTTTATTTGCTCAGAAGAGCTGGACAGGCACATACTCTTTTCTTATAGTTCTCCCTGCTAACTTTCAAGTAGGTCACTTGACTTTCCTGCTCTATCCTTTGTAATTTGCTATTTGTTGTAGGGCTCAGGATCTCACCCAATT